TGTGTGCGAGCTGTTTGCCTCTTCTACAGTCAGTTGAATTTGATGTTATGATAACCTCACAAGATGCAGTTGGCAGATGAGGGATTTGGGAGTTAGGGGCCTTTCCATCAGGGCTCACCCAGGCAGACAAGGACTTTGGGGGTCAGGCTTCCAATTTCTTGTTAACCCACAGACATGGCTATGTCAGCATTTACCACAATCGCTGCAGTGCCTGTTTCTGTGTCGCTTTGGTTCTGTTTTGGTTAAATGTGCTCAGCTGTCCACAGCACGTTATCCCAAAAGCCCCACTGTGCTCCATGTGTTTGCAGTAATGGGTAAAGCAGAAGGCTCCGTGGCCAGGGAGGAATGGCACGGACATGTTACTGCCCTCTCTGTCGCACCCGAGTTTCGCCGGCTGGGCTTGGCTGCTAAGTTGATGGAACTGCTGGAAGAAATCTCAGAAAAGTGAGTAGCACGTTTGTTTTTATCATCTTGTTAAAATAATCTTGCTTGTATCTTACTAAAGGAATCTTGCTGCAGATCTTTGTCCATGGTTTAGTTATTTATGTGGATACAGACACGGACTTTTCCACTAAACAGTGTTGTGATTCACTCGGATTCCCCTGTGGTTGGAGAAAACAAGCATGATGACTGCAGCTTGGCAGTTTAAAATCCCATAGTTTCTGTGACTTGCCAGGATAAGTAGGGAGTAGCCCACTTTTCTTGGTAGGAAAAATTTCACAGATTATCAGTACTATTTCCTGTAGTGCCCACGAAATCACTGAGCAGTAGTTACGGACTTTGTGTGACGCCACCAGGTGCAGCACTGAGTTATGTGCTTGAGGCAGCATCTTAGCTCACTTTGGCTGTCACGCTGGGTTACTCGTACCTGAGAAAATGAAGTTCATTTCAGCCTGATTCCAGGCTATGGGTTATTATTTGGAAATAGGTTTGCAAGCTCTTCCTTACTTTCTTCTATTTATTTTTTACAAAGAAAGGGTGGATTTTTCGTGGATCTCTTTGTGAGAGTCTCAAATCAAGTAGCTGTAAATATGTATAAGCAACTAGGCTACAGCGTATACCGGACGGTGTTGGAGTACTACTCTGCCAGCAACGGAGAGCCCGATGAAGATGCGTATGGTAAGTGCCTGAGAACCTCCCCATGTGCATCTTTGTTGTGCACAAGTTGTGCACCTTTGGGTGTGTTTGTTCTCTTTTTTTAATGAAACTCAGTTCAGATAATCTGTTGAGAGTGAAACTTTG